TGGTCAGAATCCACGAGCTGAAACCATAGCTTTCAACCCAATAGGCAGTGAGATTACAGAGAAGAACATCTACCATCTTTGGGGTCAGATCAGAAGGAATGTGAACCAGACTTTGGCACTGACCTAAGTGGCCCTGAGACTAGTGTCTGTTCATAGTTTGGGGGGAGGAGCTCTACCACACCCACCTCAGGCAAATGTCCTTATCCTCTGCCAAATGGTTTTTGTCCCTAAGGCACATGTTCACTGTCTCCTGGAGTGTTTCATGCATACCTCATCCACATCATTTCTTAGTCTTTGTGAACACCAGGATCAATAGTGGAGCTTTGCGTTTTTAATAAAGATGTATAGACTCTTGGTACGAAACTGGAAAGGTGTAAACTGTTCTGAAAAGGACTTCTCTCTCCTGGCCCAGTCCAGTCATCTTGTTCCCTTCCCAGAGTCAAGTACTGTTCCTAATTTATTTTTTTTTCTGTTCCTAATTTCTAACAGATGACGTACACATGTATCTTACATCACACCATGAGTGACACGCTCTACACAACATCCTGCTCTTTTTTAAAATTTAAAATAAATCTTGGCACTGCTTCAACTTCAGCTCACACAGTTCTTCCTCTTTCTTTTTTCAAAGATGCAGGGTGTTCATTGTCTAGATATACTATTGTTTTCAAATCCAGACCTTTTGGGGCACGTGGGCTGTTTCTAGTCTTTGCTACATGAGCATTGCTATAATGACTCTCTTCACAGCTTCTTCATATCACGTATGTAGATTTACCTCTGTGCAGGAATTCTAAGAAGTGAAATTACCAGCTCAAAAACCATAGCTTTCTAATAGTTATCACCAAACTATAGATTTCTCTCCTCTTGGCAATGCAGGAGGGAACCTCATGGGCTTAAGTGTGGGGCTCAGGCATCTGCACCGGGAGCCTCAGAGGGGTTGTGAGCCAGAATTGCTCCTAGGTTCTTCTTGTCCTCTTGCTCCCTGCCCACTGCCAATGTTGAGTAACATGCCATAGTGGGCTGTCATGGTCATTGTCCTCCAGCCTGATGGACCTCAATTTCTCACAAGCTCCTAACTCACAGGAGCTCAAAACTGTCCAGGTGCTGTGGGTGCTGGGGTCCCATGTCCTAGTGAGTAGGTGCCTTATCACCCCAGGCTCAGTGCTTTCTTTCCAGGTCAGGGCTGGAAAAGGGGCTTTGCTACTTCGTTCCAGGCCCCACTGGCCCTCTGTCAGGGACTGGAGCACAGGCAACACCAGGGTGACATGCAGGTGGAGAATATATGGAAAAGGCCTGGGAGGAAACAGGGAAAAGAGGTAGTGGTGAGACATTATTTGTGTGTGTGTTTTTTTAAATGTAGTATTTTTACAATACTTTACTAAAGATGAAATGCTTCTTGGACAAAACCCAATCACTTTCCTGTGGCCCCTGATGTTCTCTCTTCCTGCTTGGGAAGGGTTGGTAGGGCTGGCTCTGCCTCACCAGTTCTGCAGGGGCCAGAGGCATGTGGTAGTGGCAGGCAGGCCTTGCTCTCCTATGTTCTACGCAAAGCTCTGTTGATGTACATACAGACCAGCTCTCCCTGCTTGGAGCCAAAGAGTAGATGTCCCTGCACACTAGCTGGTGGAATCACTTTTATTCTGTGGGCATGGATGGGTAAGATCTCTTAGGCATGGCCCAGGCTGCCTTAAGGGCTTGGTGCTTGGCAGGCATTTCATAAATATTTGTGGGAAGAAGAAAGAGGGGAAAGGTCATCCACGTGGCTTAATTTTAAGAACCCTGGGGACTTGGCCCACCAGGTACTGCCTTCTCTCTCCCATGGAGCCTGACATTCTGACTTTCGGTGATCCTTCCAGCCACACAGGGCACCTCTCTGCTCTGAAATATGCATCAATTGTTCATTCATTCAACAAATCTCTATTGAGCACCTACTTGTGCCAGGTACCATTTATAGGTGCTGAGAGTATTGCTATCAGCAGAACAATCTTGAGATTTATGTTCTGGAAAGGAGTAAGGGCAGTAAGCAAACAAGGAATATATTAGAAATTTGTGTTTATAATACACATTTGAGTAGTATATTATATGGTGGTAATTGTTAGAGAGGAAAGCAGGGAAGGGAGAAGAGGGTGTAAACGTTTTGAAGAGGGTGTCATGGAGCCCTCCCAAGAAACTCAGTTGAGGAAAGACCTGAAGGAGAAAGGAAAAGAGCTATGCAGACAAGTTGGGAAGGGTATTTTAAGAAATACAAAGGCTCTTAAGCTGAAGCACAAGCAGTTTGAAAGTGGGAATGTTTTCTGTACCGTTAGAAATATTTGTGATCAGCTTTAGTGAAAGTACAGTCTTTTGTACCTCTTGTGTGTTGTAGTAGACATAAAGTAAAACAATTTTAATTGAGCCTATGCCTCAGAAGGGGGATGGATAGCACACAGTTGAACACATAGTCACCTCAATGATTATTTGCTATTTGAGTATTTGATAGTGATATATTTGAAACATTAAGGGCTATTTTGACCTTGTAGTGATTATTAATCCTATAGTTTTGCTGAGAGATTGTTCATTGGCATGCCAGGAAGGGCCATCTGTTTCTTTACAGACTGTTTTTAAGTAACCTTAGATGGACCTAAAATTCCAATTATATGAGATTCCTGCACTTGTCACCTTTCATATGAGCTTCCTCCAAGCCCCTGAAAGCCCCTCAGGGAGAGAAGACAAATTTGCACTTTGTTTTGGAAGCCCTTCTCAGGTATTCACATTTGAAAACCCAGGGAGAATGTAAACAGTTGTACCTGAAGCGTGAGCAATGCAAACGAACCACAGGACAAGAAATAGTTGACTGAATTTGGTCCTCGTTAGCAGCTCCCAGCTCCCTTTCCACATCGTTTTGCCCTCCCGCTCAGCTGTGGGCTCCCAGATGCAGGCAGAAGATTATACAGCACACTCAGCCAGCCCTGGAGAAAATGTTTGTTTCCTGACCAGCTGAAGAGCATGCTGTAAGGCATATCCAGTTTCACAGCTGTAGACAAACTGTAAGGAAGAAAGGAAAACAATGGTGGACATTTTTAAGTAGTAAAAAGTTGGTAGGTTCTTACTCATTTTTACAAAGTCCACTCAATTGAGGCACTGAGGTCTCTTTTCTCCAGAGCCACCAAGGAGGAAAAGGACATACATCCTTTGGAAGCAGACGGGGAAGGGACAGACACAGGGAAAACAGAGGCCAACCACAAGTTAAGAGCTGACGTTTCATGTGGTGCCTGTAGACAGTGCTAGGGTTGTTGGGCAGCAGGGGTTAAGTTTGATACCAAATGGAATGAGAAGTGTTAAAGAGTTTTCATCTTGTATATCTTTATATAGGCAGCTAATTTTTTGTTTTTGAGAAAAGGCTTCACTATGCTCGCCACTTATCTACCTCAGAGAGGGAGAGAGATTTGGGTTCTTATAGGTAGTTCAGATACACCTGATAGGGTCTGGGAGTGTAGCTCAGTGGTAGAGCACTTGCCTCTCATGCATGGGCTCTGGGTTGGATCCCTAGCATTGCAAAAAGAAGGAAAAAAGAACTGGCAGCAAACTGCTGGCCCACCTTTGCAGAAGGGGAAGCATTTCAAAATGCATTCTATCTTGTTCTAGTTGGATTGGGTACAGGACACAAGAGAAAGTGAATACATGTTCAAAAGCTGTCTTAGAACAATAATTTACATACTTTGTGACTCCAGGCAGAGTAAGCCCTCAGTAAACGTTTGTGGTTGAAATGCTGCATGGATCCAAAGTAGGAATTTAAAAATCCCCACACAATCCCTTTTCTCTTTCTAGTATTTGAAGTATGCTATGTAAAAAGGCCTTGCATAGAATAAACCTTGGGGTTTTTCTTTTCTTTCTCACGTACTTGCTCTTTTACTACACCTGCTTTGCAACCTTCTACAAGCCTCCAGGGCCCCCTCCTCACCCCTGCAGCTTTCTCTCTGGCCTTCCCCCCCTTTAAGCCAGGCATCATTTAACCCATTTAATGACAAAAGGATGAAAATTTTATTTCTCATTATGTTAGGTTCATTAAGCATTCTATTGTATAGATAAGAACAATCTTGCTTGGGCTGTGAGCTCAGTGCTCTGTAGGTTGGTGGCTAGTTTCACAAGTCTTGCCGGTGCAATTATATCCCAAACCAGGTGGCTATGGCTACCTTTGCAGCAGGCATAATGCCCAGAGGGAATTAAGTCCTCTAAATAACCTTAAAGTTGTTTGGTGGAAAATGTCACTATAACCTTTTTGCAATGTGTTTTAAGCTTGTGCTTTCTTTTTGTATTAAAAAAAAACCCTTGTGTTTACTTTTTAAATTAAGCAATAGTCAGATGAAGCAATATTTTTAAAGTTCAAAGGGCGAAACTCCCCCCTGCCCCGCCCCTTAATCCTTCCTCAAAGATGTCCTATATACCAATGTTCTTGTAACTGTCACATGTTTTAGGTATCCTGAAACAGAAGTCCACAGAGACACACACACTTTCGCCTCTCTTTACTTTTGTTACACTAAATAGCAAGGTGCACACATTGTTCTGCACCCAGATTGTTTTGTTTTTGACACCTAACAATATATCTTGGAGATCATTCCACATCAGTTACTATGTTTATTCATCTTGTATTCCAAAAACACATGCAGCAGCCCACATTTGATAATTTCTCTTTCCTCTGTACTTGGCAGTTCATTTGCATCCATGTTTGCCCCTTGTTGGTGAATGATTCTACCAAAGGATGACTTCCGGTCATCTTTCTTTGACTGCCTTCCAGATAAAATGTTTTAATAAGCATTAATGGCTTTGCATGGAGGATGAGCAAGCAATTTTATGTGACTGGACCCACAGCACAGCATCAATTTTATGTGACCACAACAGCACAGTGGTGTCACACTACTGTTAATGTAAACCACACCCTGAATGGGATCCCTTCACGTCATAAAATGGGGGCTCAAAGCATTGATCTGTCTTCTGAGGCTATGGCATATTTTCTCTTGTTCCAGAAACTAGAATGAACCGAAGCAATCCTGTGGAGGTTGATGAATCAGAACCATACCCAATTCATTTGCTGAAGCCATTCCCAGAATGTTCTCTGGAAGAGGAATCAGAGCCACCTGCTCCAAATATCAGAAACATGGCACCCAACAGCTTGTCTGCACCAAACCCCCCTCACTGTGCCTCAGGAGACTTTTCTCAGGCTCACCCTCCCCTGAAACTTGCAAATCACCACCGACCTGTGTCTCAGCAGGTCACCTGCTTACGCACTAAAGTCCTGGAGGAGAGTGAAGACAGTTTCTTCAGGAGGCACCCAGACCCTGGCCAAGATTTTCACTTTGGCTCCTCTGCTGCCAGCCAGCCTGAGTCTGAGTCTGTGGTTGCAGCCCTCCCCCCAGAGCATCAGTTTTCATTTATGGAAAAGCGTAATCCATGGCTGGGATCTCAGCTTTCAGCAGCTTCTCCTGACACTGGCCATGACTCAGACAATTCAGACCAAAGTTTACCTAATGCCTCAGCAGACTCCTCAGGCAGTGGCCAAGAGACAGTGCCACAGCTACAGTTCCACAGGAACCGAGCAGCCCCAGATTTGCCAACGATAGACACAGGATGTGATTCCCAGCCCCAGGATGTCTTGGGCATCAGGCAGCTGGAAAGGCCTCTGCCTCTCACCTCTGTATGTTACCCTCCAGACCTCCCTGGCCCACTCAGGTCTAGAGAGTTCCTGCAGTTTGAACCTCAGAGGTATCCAGCATGTGCACAAATGTTACCTCCCCATCCTTCCCCACATGCTCCATGGAACTATGACTACCATTGTCCTGGAAGGCCCAATCACCAGGTACCATGTAAGTGATCTTTTTTCCTCTGGACATTCTGGGTTGGGTGACCGAGGAAACAAGACCTTACATCAATGCCCCATGTCATGAGAACAGTGCAGCTAGAGCACAGTGCAGAGAGACATTCTGCTTCTTACAGAGGTTTGCAAGGAGCCTTCAAAGAATTCTTTTTGTTAGCCCAAACTCTGTCTCAGTTGAAACCTCCTTCTTTAGGAAAGTTTAAGGATGAAATAGATTCCTTTGTCAAAGTTAGTTGAACTGAAACCTGCCTAAAGGCATAGAGATGATCCAAATGATTTCTAGAAAACTCCTCAGTCTAATTCTTGGGCTTCTGGATTCTTCCTTTTCTTCATGCTTCTTCCCTACCTTAGAATTGGCAGAGAAAGAGGTGGGGCATAGGTACACTGCTTACTCTGAGTGCCCCATAATGGGATGGGTGTGGTGGTAGATTCCTTTAAGTATGAGTCACAGAGAACTGAAGGGTAACAAGGCCAGAGCTATATTTATTTCTAAGTGATTTTTAGATTAAAAGGGAATAATTTGTGAACATAATACTGTAAATTAGTCTTTAACATTGTATTATCTATATTTAAAGATAATTTTTCTGATCATACCAGTAATATTGCATCCCCTCCTCATTGAAGTATGCCCAAAAGTCAAAAATAAAAATAAAAAGTATTCATATTTCTATCACCCAAATATAATTTTTAAATATTTTGACATTTACTTTAGTGGTTTTTCCCTTTACATATATAGTTAATGTAAAATTAAAACAATTTCCAATGACATTGAGTGTACTTTTTCAGCATCATTCTAAAATGCTGCATTGTATTTCATCAGATAGAGGCACTAAGCTGTTATTAACCTATTCTCTATTGTTGGACATTTCCAATAGGCTCTAGTTTTCTGACCCTATAAGCAATGCTATGACAAACATCGTGCACAATCTGCATTTCTGATTAACTCCTTAGATGAATATGCAGAAGTGTGAATAATTACTCAAAGACTTTTTGACAGGTCCCAAGCAGTTGCCTTTACTAATAGGAAAAAGCCTGATTGTGGTAGGCAAAGCAAGCACTGACTCAGTATAATAATGAGGGTCCTGGGAAGGTCTTCCCACTGGAAAGTATTTTTCCTGTTGAAGCCTGAAATGGTGCCATTAGCAATCTAGTCTGCAGAGGTAAGCACTGCAGGGGAACATGTCCAAATGGGAACACGTTATGCCTCTAATACCTCAGGACCTGCTTTCTTTCATATGTTCACCTTCTTCTTGCTGTTTTATTTCCTTTTATTGAAAGGGATTAGAAGGCGAATGTTTGGGTTTCTAGGAGTACAGAGAGGTGATGAAAGGCAGACAGGAGAGAAATTGGACAGAGGATGGGAATAATTCACAGAAGTTATACAAACAGATAATGTGCACGTGAAACAAAGCTCAACATAACTAGATCTAAGAAACACATAAACTTTACAGATAATTCTTCCTCGATTAGAGGTGCAAAAATAAAAATATCAGACAATACCTTGTATTACTGGAGTTAGAAGAAAATGAATACTCTCATCTACTCTTGGTAGAAATATAATTGATGAAACCTTCTGGAAGATAATTTCACTACCTATCAAATTGTACCTGTCCTCCCTCTCCAGCCAATAATCTCACATGTAGTATCCATCCATGTAGAAACACTAAACAAGCATATAAAAATATGTGGGTAAGGGCTTTATTAAAGAATTGTTATAGTGGAGTGAAAATGAAAACAACTACACCACCTATCGAGAAGGTCTGGATAAATACAATAGTCTTTAACTTGAGATTTTTTTTGACTTTACAGTGGTGTGCAGTGAATAGTGGTTCAGTAGAAACCAGAGTAAGCCACAGCTGCCAGTCAGCCACAGGATCATGAGGGTAAACAACCCTACTCTACAATGCGTTGTGTCACTAGGCTATTGTGTTTTGTAGGTTAGGTGCGTTAAATGCATTTTTAACTTGATATTTTCAATGTACAATGGGGTTTTTGGGATATGGCCCCATCATAAATCAAGGAGCACCTGTAATATATGACTTATTTATACAACGATCTACTAGGCTCCTGTTGCAAAGAATAAAATATATTCTGACATAAAAAAAGATTTAAAAAGAATGCAATGTTGATATATTTAAATGTCCAGGATTGCTCTGTTAAAAGTGATGGGGGGAGGAGAGCAAGGATTGAAAAGGACAAGGTTATTCTCCTTCTAACTTTATATATCTTTGTTAAAATTTTTCTTTCCATTAAAAAATAAGTAAATACAAAGAAAATAAAAAAGAAATAAATAAAAAAGAAAACTTAGGGGAAGTAAGAGCACATAAAAAGCAAGCTTGTCCTAGTTGATCCTGCATGTACCTTGGCCCTGGCTCCCCATAGCATCTAACCACAGGGAAAAGGTCAGGTTGCATGATATTTATGGCTTATTGTAGGGCTCTGCAGTCTCAGAATGTTAATGAGGACCTAGCAGCAATGACTCCTGGGAAGGTTGCTATGAGGATTAAATGAGATAATATATTAAAGGCTGGGATAGTGGCTGGCTGCTAGTAAGCCCTCAATACTAGCAGCTCTTATTTATATTATTTTTAAATGGATCCTGAAGCCCATTCCTTTAGAGTGCACCTCTACTTCCAGATTCCTCTTACTGGCACCAATTTTAAGCATTCAGGGCAGGTGTACAAATGCTTAGTTTCATGTCAGGGCTATAACTGCACTTAATTGCCAACAAAACCACTTCAAAAGAGCTGTTCACCTGAGGGATGCTTGTGTAGTTGGAAACCATGGCTACATGGTTCTACTTAGCTTTAGAACAAACATGTAAATAAATAATGATCACCATGAAATATCATAGCTTAGCTTTTTACAAGTTAAAGCAAAAATGGTTACTGGCCACTTCTTTCATGTTTTAAAAAAAAAGTTTTCAAAGAAGATGAAAATGAGAAATGGAATAGTTTGTTTTCTCCTCATCCCACCCCCAGGAGAAGTTGGCCTCTGCTGCCTCAAAATCCTTCTACAGAAGGTCACCAGAGTAGAGTTCATGGCCATGCAATGCAATAAAACCCATAATGCAAATGTATTGGGGAAAAAAGAAGGAATTAACAAGCCTTAATTTTATTATAAAATTCTTACTTTCTCTACCAGGGACATGATAAAATAAAGCTATGGGACCACAGCTCCTAAGGACCAAAAATGTGATTATTTGCATGCTAGAATGCATGCACAATTAAAATAAGGAAAAAATAAACCAGATAGAAGAAATAATAAAGAAAGGAGTTGCCTTGCAGGAGCCCCAGCTGCTTACAGCTGTGGGACTTCCTGTAATAGTTTATGTTGGCCATTTTGTTTCCTGGCTAACCTGATTGCATTTTATCTTGATGTTTTTTGACAACTAGAAAAATCAGATTTTATTTCCTCTCTCATAAACTCTTTTAATACCATTCTTAATAAGGAAGAAAAATGTTGAATGTTTGCATTGATAAATGGAAAACCTCATTTAGGATTTGATTTACAAATTCCAAGTGGTAAAAGCCCAGTAACACGAAGGACCCTGTGTACTCAGGCCAAGAAGGATCATAGGATTGACAAGTAACATACAGTCCTGGGATCCCATTTAGGACTTTGCAAGATTTTTGTTTTTGTTGTATGATTTACATCACCTCAGAACTGAGGAGTCACCATGCTAACAAATCATCTTTGTCACGTCACCCACCTTCCATCTCCTACAGAGTAGGCCCTCTTGATGGAATTTTAGGCACTGCAGACAAGTCTGTGGGAAGCTATTTTTGAGCAGTGATTCTCACATAGGTGGCTGCCGACTTATATGCCTAACCCTTCTCACACGCCAACTATGTGGGTTTGTGTTTAAAAACAGACACCCACAGATACACAGATTTCTCGCTCATTCTCTTCCCATTTATTTTGAGCTACTTGAAACTTTATTCTATTTATCTTTGTTCACCAAGTGCCTAACCATAGAGATTCTATAAATATTTGTTGAATGAATAGAAAGAAATCTGTTCTCTACTTCCTGGGGAAAGAAGTGAACTGTAATCGTGAATAAAGTCTGTGAATCAAACTTCAGAACAGCCACCTTTAATTGTCTGTAAGGAAGAAAGAATGGAGGAAAATGGAATTTGGAAGCATAGCCTGTCCTTTCATTTATCAATTTATTCAACAAATATTTGCCAGATCATTTCTAGCCACAGCACACACAGTGGTAAATACAACATAGTTCTTGTTTTTGTGGAATTCAGTCTACTGGGGTGACAGAAAAGAAGTAGAAATTGACAGATGAAATGACAATTATATATGCTATAAAGTAAAAAATCATGTATTGGAACAGACAATAGACAGGCTAGACAGGCGTGGTGTCACGTGCCTTTAATCCCAGCACTTGGGAGGCTGAGGCAATAAGATCCCTGTGAGCTGGCGCCAGGCTAGGCCACATTGTGAGTTCAAGGCTAGCCTGAACTTCAAAAAAAGACTCTGTCTGAAAAAATAAAACAAAAAATAGGCTTGACAAAGAATGACTCTTTGAAGAGAAAACTGAGCTGAACCTACAGGATGAGAGGGTCAAAGGAGCAAGGAAATTGATGGTGTTAAGGTACCAAGAGCAAGGCCACGAGGCTGGAGGAGGGGGAGCAGCGAGAGAGTGACATGCTAGAGGACAGAGGATGCAAGGAATTTGGATTCTATTCTGAGTTCAACCACATTTTTAGGAAAACAGAAAAGGATTTATAATCCTGAATAAGGAACCTAGAACAGTTTTTGGCATATAGCAACAATCAATAAATGTTAACCATCACTCTGTATAGTACCCAAATAAACTAGCAAGCCTTGGCCATGATAATGGAACACAATGGTTAAAATAAAAAGATAGTTATTGCATAGTAAGTATATTTTTTACTTAGCAACTTTTGCACACAACCAGCCAAATTTCCAGACAAAACCAGTCCAGTTCCATTTACAAAAGGGAAAGCTTGCTGCTGTGGTCGTGCATGCTTGTAATTCCAGCTACTTGATACTTAGGAGACTTAGGCAGGAGGATCACAAATTCACGACTAGCCTGAGCAACTTATTGAGATCCTGTCTCAAAGCAAAATAAAAAGGGATGGGATTGTAGCTCAGTCGTAGAGCCCTTGCCTAGTGTGTGTGAGGTCTTGGGTTTCACCACCAGTATAGCAAAAAAGGAGGGGTCTTATTTTGGTTGAGCCTCTGATATTTAATATTTCTTTGTTTTAAACAATGAAAGGACAGCATATATTATATTGTGAGCGCCCTAATTTTAAAAATCAATGAGGTGCAGGGCCAGGGATTTAGCTCAGTGGTTCCAACGCCTGCCTTGCAAGCACAAGGTCCCGAGTTCGATCCCCAGTACAAAAACAAAAACAAAAAATCAATGAGGTGCATTATTTTTATCTGCTCTCATAAACTGGTATAAGTTTTTTATTTTACTACAGGTGGCCATTTCAGAAATGAAAGTTACAGCTAATCAAACACTTAGCCCACATGCCTTAGTGATTTTGATGATATGGTTTGTTGCTATGAGACAAAAACATGTTGTGCGGGAAATAGTCTGTTAGAAATCATATGACCTTGATTCAAAGGCTTTTGGTTAATAGCACTAACATCTGCTTTCTGGAAAAGAAACAAACCCTATGATTATTGCTTGGTAGTCCTTTTAAGCAAATAAAACGTTATTAGCCCCTCATTAATGGATATGGAAAGCAAAAATGGCTCCAAACATTAAAAACTTCACTTGAGTTACTTTCAGCTCCTCCCTTGGAAAAGCTTTCAAGGCCACGGGCAATTTCTCCTTTTGGACCTTCTCTTTCTCCTTACTTTTGGAGGGAGGCATTGATTAAAAAAGAAGTACAGCAGACAAAAAGTAGACAACCTAGGAGACCCAAGACCTAGTAATCAGTCTGTGCAGTCTGAAATGGTTTCTCTTCCACATGTAGGTCATCTACATGTCCAGGCTTCATTCATTTACTGAGCCATGCCTGTATGGTGGTACTATGCTTAGTGACACAGCAAGTCCTGCTTATACAAACCCCTGATAAGAGTAAAGAGGGAAGAAGCTGGCGTGGTGAATCATGCCTGTAATCCCAGCACTCAGGAGGTGAAGTCAGGAGAATCACTGTGAATTCCAGGCCAGCCTGAACTACATAGTGAGAACTTGTCTCAAAAAACAAACAAACAAACAAATAAACAAAAACAAGAGTGATGAGTAAAATGAAATAGGGGAGGGAAGAAAGTAACTTGGTGAAAGGGTGGACCTCTTGGAACAGGTGAGCTGAACCCTAAATGACAAGAAGTTGATCTGTGAAAATCTAGGGCAAAAGCACTGTGGGTAGAGAAGGTGGTAAATCCAGAGATTGGGACCAGCTTGGATGTTCAAGATGAAACTGGGGGTTGCTGAGCTAGTGACAGCTAGGAGGAGAAAATATTAAGGAGGGCAGGAAACCTGCTCATGCAGGGTGGATCTTAAGTACAACAGTTCTCTGGAGGGTTAGATTTACAGCTGGGTTTCTAAATGGCCCACTCATGTAAGGCTAATGCAAAAGCAGGGGTGACCTTTCCCTCATGACCTGATGGCAGTGTCATATTTTGTTCTTTCCAGCTGAAGGAGTGGCTGTGATCTGCTCTTTGCTCTGAACTCCAACTGGCAATCTAGATCCCATCCCCACCCCTCATAGTAACCTGCCTGCCCTAAGAAGGGGGGAGAAACAAAGCCTATGTAGTGTATCTTGACCAGGACCATATAGTTCTCCATGGTCCTGTTTCCTCATTCTTGGGGCTCCCCTCTAAGTCCGTCTCCTTTAGCAGCCGGCCACTGGGATAGGCCTAGACACATTCCTTTCTCCTCCTCCCCTTTTTTTAACCCCTTCTACTTGTTATGACCAGGCCTACACAATAGCAGGGCAAGGGTTATGGGTCAGAGCCAGAAGACAACCTGGGTTAGAGGGGCATGGTCATCTTTGCCAGAGGAAGTATGACAGGAAGAACCCAGCTGATGTCAGGGACAAAGAAGACAATACACTGACTACAGCAAATCTGACCAGGATGAGAGACTGACTTGGGCATATTGCCAAGGTCACCTAAACAAGTTTCCTTGGGTCCAGACAGTGGGAAGCTGGAGGCGGACACACTAGAGGGCACACACACTGGCACACACACTGATAGCTCCTGGCTGTTTACCAAACTAATTCTTACCCTCTATTCTGGTTCCAACTTACCTGACCCACTATTTCTTGCTTACTTGCCAGTTTTATTTCATTGTGCTTCCCACATGTATCCTACCTACATGCCAGGCAAATGTGATTATTACTTTTATAATCAGAAAAACTGTATGCATAAAAATTATACATTTTATATAATACATAATATATAATAATATATTATATATATATTCTCTCTCTCTCTCTATATATATATATATTTATTTATTTATTTATTTAAACAAGGGTCTTTCTTGTCCTAACTAGTCACCCCTCTTGGATCACTGTTTCATACCTGTCACCACAGTGCTTGGCTCACCAGAAGGTCCTCCTAATTCATTGCACAGAGCTCCCCACCTGGGTGTCTCCAGCCCCCTTGTGCTTCTCAGAGCTCCCACTGCTTTCTCCCCTTTGGGCCTGGGCAGTTCCCCAGAGCACTCCTCTCTCATGCTTCCTAGGTTCCCTGTGTTCCTGCTCTGCACCTTTATTCAGCTCTCTCACCTGGTCAGCCAAAGCTGCCTTTCTTCACCCTGGTGCTCCTGGGGCTGTCTGGGCCCACCTTTCTCACAGGCTACACATTCCTGTAAGTCCCAGCCAGCCCTGCCTTTGCTTGAATCCCTGCTCTCTTCAACTGCCAATCACCAAGTGCACATAGGCTTTAGCAAGAGAGACTATGGAAGTCAAAGGGTATCGCCACCTAGTTGGCTGTTTCCAAGAAGAATGAGCCAAGTTTTCATGCATTTATTTCTTCATAGGAAGGAATGGCTCTGTGTGTATGTGTGTGCGCGCCCCCCGCTCACCCTGAAGAAAGGCAAAAATAGCTATTTCATATCTATCTTAGGGAAATTTCTCCTAGTCTTGAGCTCTAGATATTTGGGAAATTATGGTAGGAATGGCAGTCTGAGAGAGGTTCTTCATGCTTGGCTTATCCTAAGTATCTTATTAAAATAGAAGTCTGTGTAGTTTTTTAAAAGTTTAATTAGAATACCAAAACCATGACTTCATGGATGTTTTTATTTAGAAAACAATTGAATCAATTTTATGAAAACTATTGAGTAGGTAGTAGTATAGAAATATGGCAAATATGGGCTGGGGATTTAGCTCAGTGGTTTCGCTGCCTGCTGCGCAAGCGCAAGGACCTGAGTTTGATCCCCGGTACCAAAAAAAAAAAAAAATATGGCAATATCACCAAGTTGGTAACTGATATCTGGACTCTTCCATTGGTATCAGACAAAAATTTTCAGTGAGTTTACCTCTCCTTTCACACAAAGAAACTTGTCAATCTTCCCTGTTCTTGTCTTCACCTACAGATGGCCATGATTACCCTCGAGTAGCTTACCAGCAAGTGATCCGGCCCACTCTGCCTGGGCAGCCCCTCCCTGGAGCAACTGTGAGAGGCCTGCACCCAGTCCAGAAGGGCATGCTAAATTATCTCGGCCCACAGAACCCAGAAGAGAGGCCTGCAGGGAGAGACTGTTCCTTTCCAGGGCTTCTGAGGTACCAGTAAGTATGACAGGGCCAACCTTCACACATTTCTAATATGAGCAAGAATTGTGCCAGTGAAAGCAAGATGTATCAAAATTCTCTGTAGGTTTGCCACCCAGGTTAGTGACAGTCACACAGTGGAACACCCACTGTAACTTTTCAGGTCAGAAGGAAACGGAAACTGGTGACAAGCATCTCTTTACCCTCATGTAAAGGCACTAGTGACTAGTCAAAATTCTCTTCAAGGAAAAGCTCTGAAGATGTTCTATAATCACATCTCCTTTTACCTTCAGATCATCTGAATATTTAGTCCACAAAATTGATTTTTATTTTTACTATGACTGATTTCCACTTTTAGCAAGTTCTTTATATCTTAGTTTCTTCCCAGTTAAGACTATTATTCCTTGGGACAAAAGTGTTCAAATGGGAAGGGGAACAAGGGAGGAGGGAAGGGGAAAGGAAGGGACAAGAAAAAAAGTGAAAATAGAAGGAAAAAATGGAAACAATGCTTCTGTACATGGGGCTTGAAGAGGGAATGGGATAAAATAAAATAAAATTTATTTTTTAAAAACTATTATTTCTTACTTAAAATTTTTAAATTTAATTACTTCCCAATAGGAATTTAAAATAACCTGTTATTTCATCTTCTAATAAAAACATTCACACATGTTGAATACTATTATTGAATCTCTCCTATGATTCTTTCAGAAAAACAATCCTGGTTTTTCCTGACTTCAATTGTCTTAACCCTTTGTATTAGTGCCTTCCATTGCTATCATAAAATATCTGAAGCTGGGTACTTCATAAAGGAAAGATATTTATTTAGTTCACAGTTTTGGAGGTTGAAATTCCAAGCTGCACAGCTCCCTATGTTCATGTTAATGGCACTGTAGTAGAAGTATGAGCAAGAGGGAGAGACAAATGGCCATTTAGAAAGCCAGAAAGGGACCAAGTAGACACCAGGCTTGTTCATTTTTAGTGTAAGACAGGGTCTCACTAAATTGTCCAGGCTGGCCTTGAACTCACAATCCTTCTGTCTCAGCCTCTTGAGTAGCTGTGATTATAGGAATTACATCCAGCTTTTTCAGCTAACACTTTTATACAACTCTCTTTGTGAGAATTAACCAGGGTCCCAGGAGAACTACCTCAATTCCTTCCAAAGGCAGTACCCTCCTGACCTAATTTTTTTCCATAGGCCCCTCCTCAGAGGTTGCATGGGAGCACAGGACCTCCCAACATTGCCACACTGAGGACAGGCCCCCAGCACATAAGCCCCCGGGAAACACTCACACCACACCCAACCATACCATCCTCTCCTCCTTATTGCTCTTTTGACTCTTCTTCAAGTTTTTCTTTTCTCTTAACTTATGGATCTAAAATATAGATGGAGCTCACTAATTTATGACACAATTAGAAAGAAAGTAGGTAAAATGTTTAGTCTTGCTCAAGCACAACTTTCACAGGTCACTGAAAGCAAATCTATTCTGTTTTTACAGTACAGAATGAGATGCAAAGAAGCTATTCAAGTGGAGTTTTCGGAAATACAGAAATTAGTAATTAGCTTTTTTAAAAGCCCATTTTAACAATGGTAAATAAGATACATGCCTGTTTTCCCCTTTACTGTAAAATCCACAAGCCCTCATATTTTCTTTCCAGATGATCCTTTGTTTTTCTAAAACAAAAATATATAAATTCTCAATAACAGAATTAAAGAAAATGTGATTTTACAGCACGATAATCACTTTTATGGAGGAAATATCTTAAATTCCAAGAAAACAAAGAAATAAAATTTAAACATCCTTATGAATTGTGAAATAAGTTTGGTGCTGAATAGGAGAAGCAACTGTAATTTTAAAAAGTTTATTTTGAAATAACTTTAGATTGACAAAACAGTTGCAAAGATAGTGCAGAATAATTGTTTTTGTAGTATCAATTTAAACCTGCTGTCATCTCCTTGATTTATTTTATCATTTTAAGATAATGAAAAATGAGTTCAGGTAAAGAAGTTAATTCTCCTCTTATTGATAATTTGAAAGAGAACTTTAATACGGAAAGTTTACTTTCATTAAATTCCATGATACAGTTCTTACATGGATGATTTTGAATTTATCAGCCTTCATGTTTCTTTAATAAGTGAGCAATCATCTTTTATAACAACTAAGCAACTTTGGATCTAAAAGGGCTTAATCCAAAAGAAAAAGGAACTGGATCTCTATTAGATGAAAGTGTATTTTATAGGAATTATTTTATCTATATTAAAAAAAACATAAGGGAAAATAATCTCCTTAAAGATTCATATTTTAGAAATATAGTATAATTGAGATATTATTTTAAATCCTGTTACATAGGTCCTTAAGGATCTTTTATTATCCTTGAGTAAAAACATAAGCAATAATCTACAAAAATTGGGCACATACATAGATTTGTAATCAGAGCACTTAAAAATATTTCAGTATGGGGCCGAGGATTTAGATCAGTGGTGCCGTGCCTGCTCCACAAGTGCAAGGTCCTGAGGTTCTGAGTTTGATCCCCAGTACCACAAAATATATATATATATTTTTTCTGTATGGAAACAGTATCAAACATACAACAAACAACAAGCATCCAATCTATGTTCCCACTACCCAGATTTTTAAAATGTTGACATATGGCCACATTTGGTTCAGATTTGTTTTGGATGAAATTAAACATTAGACTTACAATTTTAGTCTCCCTACCAGTTAGGACTCAGTTACGGAAAGCAGGAACAATTCTAGCTGTTTTAGGCAGAAAGGGTTTTAATATAGAGAATTGGGTGCTTACAGAATTACTGGAAGTTGGAGGAGCAACCTCTAGACTAAGCTTCAGGGAATGATCCTAGAACAAGCCCAAAGAATAGGATTACCAAAGGGGCTGCCTCCTCTGGCACACTCAGAAAGGTGGGAGATCAGAAAGCGGACACTGTTGAAGCCGCTGCAGCTGGTGGATCTATTCTGTACCTGCCAGATCCACAACAGCAAAAGATGGATGCCCATGCCTTGTCCTTGATGTTTGGGAATCTGTTTATGGGATACTGGAATGCTTTGGAGGAAAACTTAGCACCTCATGACTGCTTGCCATGTAAGAAGTGTCAGAAATATGATTTTCATTTGCTTCTTCCAAATCTCACACAAGATACTGACAAAACGCTAACAAAGATAGCATGTCTCAGTGTGATAGAAATTCCTTTTAAAGGTTCTTCTAAATCAGATTTTCATTCATATATTAACAACACAAATACTTTTAAACCTACATAGCCTTTTTTTCTTTTTGATACATGATTAAATATTATCTATCATGAGCTAAAAAGTCACATCTTTTTAATCTGGATGCCTACAAATCAACCTATGTTACTCATCATTCTACTTTGTTTGTTGGTGACCTTGCCTGCCCTGTGCATGAGACTTATTTTTCCAATTAGACACTTCTTGAATACAGAAATCAAATCCTGCTTCCTTCTTCCACCCCTAACTCAAGAACTTACATATGGCAGCCAGCTGAATTGCTTGTTGACAGAAACTCCATGGAGCATCCCTCTTTCTTCTGTCAGATAGGAAATGGAGGCAGAGGAAAGAGATTGTTCAGTGGTATCTTCCCATGATTTTAAGACATTCTGTCCTCCCCAAGGTGTGTGTTTGTAGAAAAATGAAAATTTACTGTAAACGTCTTCCTTTCCAGGGACCAGCTGCATCATCAGTCACCTAATGGCACTGGAGCTCCTGAGGAGTCCTCAGAACATGCTGCAGAGTTGAGACCACAGGTTCCCCAGGCTCCGTCCCTAGTTGCTGTGCCTAGACCCCCTAGTAACCCTTTAGCCCGAGGAACTCTGAAAATAAGCAATTTGCCAGAAGAATTGCGTAAGTTGACAAAGCAGTTTTCTCCTTCTCCTCCTTCTTCTTGTCAGGTTCTGTACTTTGAAAAAATCTCTTGAACATTCATCCATAACCTCAGATATTTCTCACATACACAGTAAAAGAAGATTTACTTTCTTGCTTTTGCTTGAAAAGTAACGAGCATTTTGTATGACTGTTTTTAGTGATTCTGACACCACCAGTAATGCTCACAAACTGCTTACCACTAGATTTTCTTCAACACATACTCCTACAACAAATAACCCGAATGCCTTTTTCCTCTTCTAAATGATGCTTTTGAGTGGACTTGTCCCTGGGTAAATTGATTGGATGTCCATGTGGCACTGGACAGAAACCTAGTGTCTCACCATAAATTAGCAGCAGCTATCAAGAACGAGGTCATTTCCTGTAGGAATGAGCAATCTTGTTTGGAAAAAAATAACAATCTCACATTCTCCATACTGCCTTACAACCAAATGCAAACTAAGCCTTTTATTTAAAGAAACATTCAACTAAGTGTCAGGTGATGATTCTTTTTCCATATTTTGCTGCCAGAAACAGAAATGTTGAAATATCACCAAAATGTTCTCAGAATAAGGTCAGTCAGGATAGTTAGTTCCAGAAATCTTAAGAAAACAGTCACTATTTGTGAATTTATTACCCATTCTGCTTCCTAGAGAAGCTCAGATAATTCTAATAATCTCTTTCCAAATCTGGGAAAGGGGCTGGGAATTTAGCTCAGTGGTTCTGCTGCCTGCCTTGAAATACAGGGTCCCAAGTTCCATCCCCAGTACCAAAATAAAACCGAAACCAAAACCAAACAAATCTGGGAAACTGAGCCAACTTGACATGAATTTGCTAATTCTTTTTGGGTGATCTGTGCTCTTCCATTATTTACAACTCTTAAACGATTTCTATGAAGGGCCGGGGATTTAGCTCAGTGTTTCCGCCCGCTGCCCGCCTCAAAAGTGCAAGGTCCCGAGTTCGATGCCCCCCCCCCCCCGCCAAAAAAGAAATCTGAAAGATTTCGGTGAAAATGATCCATTGTTGTTTTTACTTAAAAATTTTCTTTTCTTTTCTTTTCTTTTTTTTTTGGTACCGGGGATCGAACTCAGGTCCTTGTGCTTGCGAGGCAGGCGGCAGAACCGCTGAGCTAAATCCCCGGCCCAAAAATTTTATTTTCTAAACATCTTAAATCTTATGCAGTTTATTTTGAGATTTTCTGTTATGCATAGAAAAGTCCTGATGTCAGTCTGTAGGGGATATTTATCTTATCATAATCTTATAAGGGTCACATAAACGTCCCTTCATAGGAAGGAAGGAAACTTCCTTCACAGGAGGTTTAGGTGAATAGAAGTGTTAATTTGGGTGAATAGTAGTATTGAGAAGAAAATAAATTGAGTGTCATCAATATGTCTGGGTGCTTAAATGAGTTAATATGGCCATTATACACATTCCTGTTTGAGAGATGTGTTTTAAAAAACAGAGGTCTAAGCATACATGATTAACATATCCAAACTTATATTTTTTCTTCAGCCCTCTTTCTTCTCTACCCTCTGCCCCAGGGAAGTCCTTGAGATTTACCTGGCCCATTCCACACTAAAAGCCAACATATAGAGATCATTCGTCTCTCACATTAAAGTGCTAGTCAGATAATTTCCCCCAAAGACTATGCCTGAGTAAACACTTCTTGTCCTGACTGGGGCAAGCTTGTCCCAGTAGTATTGTCTGGGGCTCTAAGCTGACCTATAGATGAGAAAGGAGTCTGTGATGTTGGACTGCCCTGAGGTGGTGTCTCTCAAAGCTCCCGTCTCTCTGAAACTACTGAAGTTTTACCAACATTTCTGAGCTGTTTGTTACTCTATTCCAATTTCCTGGCCTTTCTCCAAAAGTGAGTAGATCGGTGGAAGCAGGGGGTCAAGAAACTGCTTTCTCACTGTCCGCCCACTTGTCAGGCAAAAGTTCAGGGCAGCAAGAGCATCATGAGATCAAAAGAGGACGCTGCTGGGTGGCCCCTTAGCAAGCTTGGCTTCCTGGCCTGCTGTGAGAATATTTTCCTTGGTCACCAAGTCAAAAGTCTTTAAGAAACTGATCTGTGGCTTGAGCATACAGACCACAAGGTCTAGGCAGTGTTTCTGTTAGTATTTGTTGTTAATACTTCATGTGGTTTTTCACACCACTGAGGATTGTCTCCTGTCATTGCTCCCCTCTCCCCTTTTGATTACCTTTTACCCTGAGCAGTCTGCACTCCCTGGGACAGGCCAGAGCCCCTTGGCCTGAAGAATTGTGCACTGAAGACAAAAGTCCCCACTACTGCAGGCGTATGCTCTTGGACCACCGCACCCCAAGGTTTCTCTTACAACTCCAGATGGACAGAAGACATTACATATGATTTAGAAGTTTTGTGTAGAATAGAATAATTCAACTAATTTCTAATAAATGTGAAATTTTTCTCTTAGGCAAAGTCTTTATCACTTATTCTATGGACACAGCTATGGAGGTGGTGAAATTCGTGAACTTTTTGTTGGTGAATGGCTTCCAAACTGCAGTAAGTATTTTGTCCAAAGAGAAAACTGAACTGTTGCAGTACAATGACAAGAAAATCACAGGACAAAGGATAGTTGATATTTATGTGATTCTGAACTAAACGTAGGTAATTATTTGCTAGATTTTAAACTATCCAAATTCTTCATTTTTCCTCCATATGCTTTTTGTATAATCCTGAGTACCTCCAAACAGCAAGAATGGTGCTAATGCTGACCATAAAGACAGCTAGCCCTTGGCCTAAAGGAAAAGCCAGGCTCTCACTGTACTTTGTACCTCTGTCCCTTCTCACTAGTTGTGCTCCCTGTGATGCAGGAAGTGCAGACCTCCCCACACCACCTGCTTGTTTAACAGGCCCCTTTTGTTCTGTGCTGGATTTGAGGTTTGAAGTAGAGTCCTGGCAAGCTGCGTCCCCCACCACACAAAGCTGCCCTTCCACACCTTGATCTAGGGGAAGCAGACCTAATCCAGCCATGCAGGTCCACGGTGATCTTGGCCCAAGCAATCTCAAGCGCATTCTCCTCCCATTCCCTGAAAACGCACAGCTTAAAGCCATGTAAGTTTTTCTTTAGGATAAATAAAATACCACAGGACACTACTCAGAGGACTGGCTTTCCTCAAACACTGAGATCACTTCTCTTCCCTCCCAGAGGCCTCTTCTAGGTATTTACTGAGAGTGAATTATATTGAATAGTGAAAAATTTGCAGTGGATGAATAGAAATGTTGAAGAATAAAGAGGAGCAAAAATTAGAAGAAAGAGAGGTTATTTAGCACTGTTTAACAATTATTATTTGAAGTTTTCTTTATTCTGTAACAGTTTTTTTAAAAATGAGAATGTAAAAATGTTTAAAATATGTGTATAATTTATACAGCCTAACTGCACGACTACATGGAATCTATGATTTCATTTTCTCATTTCTGGAGTAAGAAAGTACTATGGTAATGGTGACATAAAATCAATGCAAAAGACACAAGGTCAAAATTTCCACAGAGATTTTACTTTTCATCTTTTTCAAATATACTGATTGCCACTGGAGAAGAGCTCAGCGTTTTTTACCTTAACAATCAGGGGTTATTTAGGCAGAATTTAAATCTGTCCTTGACCCTCATCCTATGGAGCCTTGAGGTGGAATCAGAGCCCCATCCTGGACAGCTAAGTTAGTATTGATGCATCAGGATCCTCTGTTATTTATGGATACATCAAGTGGGATGGAACACTTCATGGGGAATTTGAGGCAAATTTAATAGAAGGACTATTACAAAGCTCTGAGCCATTTAATAAATGAAAGAATGTTATAATGTGTTAATTGTACACTAGTATCATAGTGGGGGAGAGTTTGGTGAAGTAAGGAGGAGGATGTTAATGTATGGGAGGGATTAACAGGGCAGGGAGTTTGTATTGTGCTTTTAGCATTTAGGGGACACCAATAAGGGGAGTTAAGTAGCCAGATCCCACCGGGAAAAGAGGTAGGAAGCTTGATGATGGCTGGGACTTGACTTGATTAGTCTTAAATGGCAAAGTGACATTTAGGACAATTAATCTGAGAGCAGAATAGCTGAATCAAATAACCCCAACTCAAGGACCTTCTCTCTGAGTCACTCAGTTATAATCTCTCTTCCAATCAGGAGTACCTTGTACACTCACACACACGGACACACACTACTATACAAGTCTGAGCCTAAAAAGGCCTTCCTATCTGGTCTCCTATAAAATAGAAAATACTATTTGAGTTTTCTTTGAATACCCCTTCAAAGACTTGAAGACTAATACTAAATATGAGTCTTATCAAGGCCCAAGAGTTCATCTTGACTTTCATCATAAACCTTTTCACTACTATCTCAATAATTGTTTTGGCTACTGTTCCTTGCCTCTGCTTCAAGTTTCATACAATCCTTTTGAAATGTGTAGACTGAAACTGGACATCATAACATAATAATGACCTGAATAATACAAGTAAAGCACCATAGTCTCAGTACTTGTATATCACAATACAGAATTGCAGAATTATGTTTGCCTTTCAAATTTTCAAATTTCAGATATCTATAAATATAATCCACCTGGCTTACATCCAATTTAGTAGTATACTGTGTCCCTCAGACTTTTAAAAACATTTTTATATAGTCACAGATCCATTCAATGTGAACCACTATATTCTAGTTATAGATATTAACTGTTTACATACCTACTAATGTTGAAATAGGCAGTATTTTATAAAAATTCTGTTTTGCTTTTTGGATTTATGTGTTCTTCCTTGCAAAAAGCATTAGTAACTTTTTGAGTTGAAAATGTATATAACCTCTGTGTTTTCTCAGCCTCTGCATCCAGAGAAAGTGTCTCATTAAGAGCCAACTCCCACATCTTTCTCTTGTAGATTGACATATTTGAAGATAGAATCCGAGGCATTGATATCATTAAATGGATGGAGCGCTACCTTCGGGACGTAAGTATATTCCAAAATTTTGAGAATATTTGTTGGCAAGAAAGGCAATTAGCTTGTGAAGTTATTTTATGGAAGAAGCCCTGGCATATCCACCCAAGTCTGAAGCTGAGAAAGTCTGAACAAAGCCTGCGTTGTTGGAAGCTGTGCAGAGACTTGGAAAGGAAAGATGGGGTCGCCCTCCTGTACATGCCCAGGAAGGAAATAACGGTCAAACCAGACACAGGTGGTTGATAACAATCAGAGCAAACAATTTCTAGACCAGAATAAGAAAGGAGGAAATGAAGGCAGTGAGTGGAGAGGGAGCAGCAGAATTCAATTGAATCTGAGGCCACCCCAAGTGTTTTGTAGGACTGGACTGAAGCGGTTTCCCAGGCACCCTTGCTGGCTGCCCAGCATGCCACCCCCAAGGTGCCCACTCGCAGCCCTGTGATTTGTTTTCCACTGACAGAATCTATATCAGCCACTGAGACACTTTGTGCTTTAACAAGATAGAAATTGATTGTTGCCAGTGTGTCTGTGTCCGCAGCAGCAGCTTCTTTGGGTGGGAGTTGGTGGGGGACGGGAAGTCTCAGCAGGCTGGGGTTTTGCAGCTTTTCCTTTTGTCTGCAGCCTGATGTTTGCTTTTGTAAAGGGTCTCCTCCTACTGACTGCACTAATGCAGATGTGGAAAGCTGGGCAGTGGAGAGTGCAGTAACTGATGGCTCAGATCCAGCTGATGGGAGGGAGGGAGAATCTTTTCATCCTTGAGCCTGCAGTGCCTTTTCCCCATGATGCAGACTAACTTAGTGATTCAGGCTGTCAGACATTTATTAGAGATGTAGCAAATGGTGGGCAAAAGCACATCTGCTTAGGAGAGCTCCTCTCTGAGCCATTTGCTAGCATGTTTGAGAGGAGCTGGGCAGGGAGGCAGCAAAGAGTGGAGACCAGAGTGTGCCTGAGTGGAGCCAATGCCTTCTGCTTTCCACAGAGGGGGAGCCTGACCCTCCATCCTCCAGCAGGTCAGGGAATGCTCATCGTCCTGCTGGCCAGTTTCCAGCCAGCCGTCACCAAATGGACTACACTTCCCATTTCTATAAACATGCTTTTCTCCCTCTCATTAACAGAAAACAGTGATGATAATCGTAGCAATCAGCCCCAAATACAAACAGGATGTGGAAGGCGCTGAGTCGCAGCTGGATGAGGATGAGCACGGCTTACATACTAAGTACATCCATCGAATGGTGAGTGGTGAGGGGACACAGGGCCTCCCTGCCCCTTAGGGACAGGTGTTTTCTCTGGGAAAGGCCAGTTCTTCACTGGAGACCAACCAAAGTCTCCTGTTTCGGGGTAAAGAATCTGGGGTAAAGAATCTCAGGCCTCCAGTCTCAAGAGAGGGGGTGTGGTTGTGGCTCTGTTTACCTTGTGACCCTTGGTGAGTCATCAGATCTCTGAAAGGATTCAGCATTCCCATCAGTAAAAAGGGAGAACAATCTGCAGCCTCTACCAGCCATCATTCTGTTGGCCTGGCTGTTTGCCAAGAAATGTGTCATCCGCTCCGCTTTTGTGTTTCCCTTTTTATTTTGAGACAGGGTCTTTCCAAGTTGCCCAGACTGGGCTGGAATGTGTAATCTCCCTGCCTCAGGCTGCCAGAATGTTGTGCTATGTGCTACCAAGTCCCACTGTCCCCTGGCTTTTCAGAGAGGCAGGGTAACAGAGTGGAAGGGATACATGCTGCTGTATCAGATAAGCTTGGTTCAAATTTGGCTTCCTAATGTGACTGTGGCCCAACTACTTCAATTTTTCTGTGTCTCTGTCTCCTTGTTCATAAAATGGGCACTAGCACAGTATTGTGAAGATGAAATGAAATGTGTTTGTGAAGTATCTGACACATCCCAAGTGCTTATCAAAGGCATTGTTTTTAGCTCATGACAGGTGGAGAATATTCCACTGCCACATCTGCACTATTAGGTCTGGTCAAATTTAAGACAACTTGGAAGAAATTTTACTTGCTTAGTATCTGAGAATATTCTGAGTGAGCATATCACCCAACTTTGGAACCGGCTATTTATGGTAGAGCAATCTTTCTCCTCTCCATGGTTTTAGAGATGCTTTAGAGACCATTTGAGCTTGACCAGGAAGCAAGACGAGACTTGTGACTTGTGAACTGCCCTGCGGAGTCCCTAACAGGTGCCCATGTGTCCCCGGAGGAGAAGCTGGCTCTGGGCCTCCACCTCAACCAGGGCTGGTTTGCATTTCTCAAGCTTGTTTACCAAGGATTCTGAGATTTTAAAAGGCTTGAAAATCTACTGGATTAAAATGTATAAGCTCCATTTCAGCTGTGACACCACACAAAGGGGGAGGCACCTAGAGTGAGCATAAAGGATCACTGACTAAGAAGGATATGTGGGGCAGAAAGCAGAAGTGGCCCAGAGGGAATAAGAGAATGGCACAATGCAGGAAGCACTCAGGCAGTCTCAGGACAGGCAATTTCACCTCAGAGGAAGTGAAGACAAACCCCAGGTCTTTCCTGTGGTTCAGGAGCATAGAAAAAGGACAGGTGGGTGGGTGGGCAAGTGGGTGCCCCTATTTTAGTCTTCAGGGTCTCTATCTCTTCGTCCACCAAGTGTGGATGACTTATTTGAGCTCTCAACCAACTCAAAGCAAAAGCCAAGGGAAGGTGGTGAGGTTAAAGTAAGGCCAAGAGTCAGGAAGGAAATCTCTCTCCTATTTCAGTGCTACCTGGTCTGATCCCTAGATGTAAACTGACCTAAAAGATAATGGCTGGCTCTGGGTGCTGCCATTCCTTGACTGTGTCACATCTACATGTTCCCAGAACACCTGATGGATGGATGTCCTATCTGCATTTCTAAGGACCTGCCAGTCCCAGGAGCCCACAGCTAGGGTGCAAGAAGTGTTGCAGGTCTCTGTCAGTTCTTGAGGAAACCTGTCTAGCCTGCTGATATGTGGCAAACCCAGACAGCAACACAAGTGTCAGCCTCAGAGCTTGGCTGACTGTGCCAACTGCAAACACATTGTCTCCAAACTTGGTTTCTTGAACACCAATGCCTTGGACCTTTCCTTATCATAGAAAGGTCTGAATAGGCCAGATAACCTTCCTGCCCACCTGGCTGACTTCCTGGTCCCCTCCAGGCAACAGAAAGCCTGGTACAATAAGAACTTGCCCATGACCTAAAGAGTGAAGAGGCACTCATGAGTAACTGCATCCCAGAGCAAACACTTCACAGAAAGCCAATATCTGGAAGTATAAGAGACAGTCAAAACGAACTGTCACTGGCTAGTCCCTCAACAGACTGGGAAGCCTACCAGATAAGCCAGGCTTCACACTACAGCATTCTAGCAGTCAGAAAGGAAAGCAATCTTTTTTTTGGTACTAGGATCGAACTCGGGACATTGCACTTGCCAGGCAGGTGATAGAACCACTGAGCTACATCCCTGGCCAGAAACCAATCTTTTACTTTTGACTTGGAAACCCCTGCCCTTCCTTTCTTGTGTTCACCCTGTGCTGGTGTGGTCAGAACTTTTAGTTGTACAGTACTTGGGGCATTTTAAAGTATGTTTTTGGTATTGTCTTCTGATTTTTGAAGGAAGTTGGTTCTGAGAAAACACCTTGTGGCAGATTTGTGTTGTGTGATTGTGTGTACTAGTACATGAGAGTGGGCGATTATAAGGGGTTTCTATGGTGATTTCAATAAGCAATCATCACCATTGTCACTGTCTTCATTTCTGTTTTTATAACTATGCACTATGAAGACTTCTTAGTTATAAAAATCAGTAAGATGCAATGGTCAGGAACATGTAATTCCTCATCTCATTGTTATCAGGTGACTGAAAGCTTTGTGCTGGTCTCAGGATTTGGAAGACTCTAACTCCCCTGCTATTGAAAATTCTCATTTTGATAGAGTTCTTGGCAGCTTATTCTTCTTGGGCCACCACAGCATGAGAATGAATTGAACTGGTGTAGGAACCTCAGGCCTGGATGACTGGTCTTTACAAAACTGTCTTCCCAGCCCGGTCTCCCTGCTGTCTGCCAAGCCCCCCTGCATTCTGGCTGCAGTGGATTGCTAGCTGTCCATTGACAGCGACACACTTCCACACTTCCAGACTTGCCTCCCTTCTGTCCTCTGCTGAGGCTGCCTTTCCCCTCCCACCTTCATTCTCCCTACCTCACCTAAATCTTTCCACACCAAAATGACTCCTTTGTAACTGTTCTTCAGAAGCTCTGATGCAGAATAGACAGCTCCCATTGTTCCTACTTTTCACGCTGCTCTCTGGTTGGTAATTTTCTCTCTGCTCACTAGACTATTGGCTTTGGGAGGACAGGGATGGTATCAGTGCTGTTTTGCTAACCTGGCCCTCAAAAAAGGATCTGGATTTGTAGCACTTACCCATTTCCATGGCATGAATACTCTCACCACAGGAAACTACAAGCTACTAATATAATATGCAGTCACTGAACACAAAACTGGGAAGATGTGCACACAACTGGCTCCTGTGAGCTGATGCAAGCCAGCACCAGTACACTCTGGAGAATGTCCTAATCCTAAAAACCCAGGGTCTAGCACAGATTGTGACTTTTGAGAAATGACTGATAAATGAGTGAAAGGCACAGTGTGTAATGAGAAGGGCTTGAAGTTTTAAGTATGTCTGCTCTCAAATAAGGCAATCAGATACTATGTGGGTCTGCATTATTGTGAGCACAGCTAACACATCTTTCTTGAAATTTAAACCTTCATATTTGTTTGGTTTTAGATGCAGATTGAGTTCATAAAACAAGGAAGCATGAATTTCAGATTCATTCCTGTGCTCTTCCCAAATGCCAAGAAGGTAAATAATCAACCAAACAAAAAGCCTTACAATTCAGTCTTTGGTTTGTTTGTCATTTGGGGTTTTAAGAAGGAAACCTCGTCAACTCTTTTTCAATCCTTAGAGGTAACAGTGTTACCAGAATGACCATCAAGTTTTATCACTCAGTTCAGCAGCATGAATCAGAAAGGTTTGAAAGTGTTATCTGATAGGATCCTGGCTCTAATTGTTCAGACAGCCACAACGCACAAAGAAGTAGTTTGTGTTTTAACTCACGAGCGAACAGACCATTCATTGATACTTCTTATTGCTTGCACATAAGAGTCATGGACGTGATTGCTGCTTGTTCCCCATAAGTATTTTGTTGCACCTAATTCAGTTCTCAAAGCTGTAGTCTATAGGAATTAAATTTGCACAGTCACTTCAGTGAGCTCTACTATGGTCCATATGAGGATATGAAGATAGGCTTACTAACTGGGGGCATTGGAGAGTATATTCTAGGCCTGGCAAAGGGAAGGCATTGTTGAAGTAAACACATTGAGAATCAGACATAGCAACCTGAACTCAGACCCAGAGCTTCACCATGGAGAATCCCTAGATGCCAGGACTGCATAAGACCTCAGTGCTGGATGAGGGAGGGTCCAGTTTATGTGAATGGGACACGTAAGGCTATATGACTACAACTTCTCCCCACTCCCCTACCCAGGGTTTCATTGCTCTCATTTACTGGTGAGTCACCTTACTGGTCTCCTTGTCTCCACTTTGACCTGTGCTAGACATCTGCTGTTCTGTCCATCCACGAGGAACATCTAAAAGATGATCTGATCTGCTTCTCTCCAGTTTAAAAATTTAGTGGCATTTTCCCACTCCCTACAAAATCATATCTGCCTTTCTTAGCATGACATAAGAGGCCCCTAAAAAGAAAACTGGCCACTCATTAGTCTTCTTTCTTATCACCCTGTGCCCTACGCTTTGGTCATACTGGACCATTTCAGCATGCCCTCACACATGCCATGTCTTTTCATGGTCCTGTGCTTCGGTCTTTCTTGTTCCTTCTGTCTGCCTAGTGAACTCTTGCTGATCCTGGTGTCACCCAGTGTCTCTAGCCTGCCTTGAGACCTCCCTTCCCCCACACCAGTATTTTATTGTCTCTCTCTTGAGCACTCTTAATTGTAGTATTTCCTGTCAGTGGTATGTAGGTGGGGGTAAGGGTGCTGGGAATAATTATTTAGAATTAATAAAGCATGATGATATTAAAAAAAAGACCAATTGGCTTTATTCATTTTTAAATCCTCTTCAAACAATTGCTTTATTGTCTGACCTGAGGACAGACTGCTCCCACTATGAGCCTCATTGGTATACCACTGCCTGGAAAAGAGTTTATGTACATTTTGCCACCATATAAGATTTTAAACTTCTTAAAACAGTTACTGTGTCTTTTTCAGTGGGTATCTTCCATACTCAGTATGATGCCTGACCTATACCAGGTACTGCTTCTAAACTCCTACAGTCCCCAAAGAATCTATCTCAAAGTAAAATTTTACAAGGCCCTATATATAATACAGACTCCTTTATTTCCAGACCTCACCTATTCACTCTCGCTCCTTCTGTTCTAGCCACATTGGCCTTGTTGCTTTTAAACAGACCTGGCACATTCCAACCACAGGGCCTTTGCACTGGCTAAGTATCTGCCTGAACAGAATAAACACAAAGCTGTCCCCCTTTGCTCCTTTAGGTCTTTGCTCATTTTCTCAGTGGACCTTTTCTAAATATCTCTTTTAAAACTTCAAACCTTTCACCCTTGCCCCAGCACTCCCTTCTCCTTTCCCTGGTTTACTTTACTCCATGGTACATATTACTATTGAACACGCTACCCATTTCACTTATCTGCCTGGCTCAAGCAGAGCATCCACTACAGAAGAGCAGTCAAAAACTGAGCCCCCAGGGTCCTAGGCTCTCAGTTCCTGACTTTACCTGGTAAGTGACGTCTGATAGGTTCCTTCTACTACAGGCTGGAGTGAAAGGATAATGAATTAGATTAAGCCCATTGGCTGGGCATCCATCTCCAGAAGTCACAGGAGAATTCACATCACTCTGGGTGACCTCTGTCCTACCCCTTTTATGTGAGGGTGGTGAAAAGCACATTGAAATGCCAAGGGCAGATAGCCTGGGAGACGGACAGAAAATGCTGAGCACATATGGTTTCCATAATGAAATCTACAGCTTGCGCCCAAAGCCAAGAGCATTTCACATGCAAAACCCTTCCAAAACCAAAACAACACAACTCTCAGGGTAATTTGGTAGGAAACGCCCATGAAGGGAAAGCCAGAGATGTTGGGAACTGAGCCTGGGATCTGGAATCCAGGTTTTGCTCTAATGACCTTTGCTCCTGTCATTCTCTCTCCTGCAGGAGCATGTGCCCACCTGGCTTCAGAACACTCATGTTTACAGCTGGCCCAAGAATAAAAAAAATATCCTGTTGCGGTTGCTCAGAGAGGAAGAGTATGTGGCTCCTCCCCGGGGGCCTCTGCCCACCCTTCAGGTGGTTCCCCTGTGATACTGGCCAGTCTCAGATCATTGGGACTGTGCCACGAATGGGACTCATTCTAACAGCATTCTTCTAGTTGAAGCTGGTAGGCAACACTCTTGGCTGTTCCTCAGTCCCTCCCTGAGGGGCCTTCAGGCCCCAAAATATCTCTTCTGCAGTACATTTGCCCCCTAGGACAGGCTGCTCTGCCTTGCCTGCTTTGTAAAAATCTGCTGAAAGCTCCAATGTCTGTCATGTTCTCTGAACAGTCTGATGTGCCCATTCTGGGCCTCTCAATGCTTAGTGAGTAGACAATGTAAGTCAGTAATACAGCAACAAATGTTAAGTGACCACAAACACTCTTGTTGCTACAGGCTACTTTTATGAGTTAGCCAGATGTTTGTGTGTTCTCAGACCAAACTGCTTCATGTACAAATAATAAAATGTTTACTGTTACATAAGAGTGTGTTTCACTTATCTCAAAGGAGATAAACAAATATTAATTTATAATGATATGGGCAGCTTCCTAGGAAATCAACAAAACTGCTTAGATATAATATTAGTGTAGCAGACTTCTGTATTAAAGGATTAAAGCCAGATAGTTAAACACCCCTTTTAACATAATTATGAAAGCTTTATTCTTGTGGTAGAGATTTTTAACAAAACCATTCTGTATGGCACACAACCATGATTCCAAAAAGTGTTATTGGGGTGAGAGTGTAGCTCCGCAGTATAGTGCTTGCCTAGCATGCACAAGGCACAGCACCTCAAAAATCAAAACAGCATGAGTATGGTTCTTAAGAGTCCCTATGTACAAATATTGGAGTATGTGTATGAATTAACAGGGGATGTATAATGTAGGCTAAAGTTGTGGTTTAGGGGACCTATGTTTTAGTTTTGGTCCTTCCACTTACCACCTGTGTGGCCTTTGGCAAGTCCATGCTCTTTGCTTTTTTTTTTTTTTTTGGTACCAGGGATTGAACTCAGGACCTTGCGCTTGTGAGGCAGGCAGTGGAACCACTGAGGTAAATCCCTGGCAAAAATGTTTTTTGGGTTTTTTTCATACCAGGGATTGCCATGTTCTTTTCTGACATGGAGGGGATTCATCCATGAAATCACACGAACAAGCTTTCTCTAATGACCTTAAAGTTCTGAGGTCTGGGCTCTAAATTCTAAATAATCTTTTAAGGAGTGACTGATTTTTTATTTTCATAATTATGTCTCCCAGATGAAAAATTTATATTTTCATTTTTGGATTAAATTTCTTTTTAGCTGATAAATAAAAACATAAAAATTGTACACAGTGGGTACATTTTCTTAAAAGAAACTTTTTAAACATCTTCAACAATACCCTCAGTTAATAATTTTGGAAATATATATATATGCATATTTGTATGTTATCTGATCTTCAAAACAAAAATACATACACATACCTATATATAAATATGTGCATAAAATCTGAATAAAAGGTGGAGCAAGGTAGGATGGTTTTCTAGCCCAAGATAGTAAGTCAATATGAAAATTGGGGGGAGGGGGCTGAGAGGTACTGTTTCCCCTTGTTTGTCTACCTAATCTCTTAAACCAGGCTCAATTTTGCTATGAGACAGTTCAACTCTTAATGTCATCATGGCTAAAGGATAAATATGTCAATTATTAATAAGAAAGGTTGCTAATTAAATTGTAAAGAACACTAGTGTCATTTACTTTGTAACTTAGAGGTCTGCTAGGTAAGGTGAATGTCTTTTTTAAAAAAACAGGAACGGAAAAGAAAAATTTGCATAGCTTAAATACTCATTTTTCAGACTTTGTGACAAGAACCTTTAATTCTGTAGAATTTGAAACCTGGTAGAACTGACTTTCTTGCTTGGTCAACTCGAAATTCCTGGAAAACACTCCAAACACAAACTTCAAGTCTCCTTTCTTCCTTTTTTATTTCTTTGGTTCAAGGTGACAACATTATTAAGGATTCTACACACAATAAATGACATTAGCATTTTAAATCTGAACTGTTTATAGCATGCAAAGATTTAGTAATGTGTTGTTCTCCTCTCTTCAGAGACCTGTTCCAAGCTTTCATTCACTAGTTCCTTCAACACTTCCTACCCCAGGTGGATAGGAAAAAGGTCCCTAGTGTTTCACCAATAATTATTGACGAAATACAGCTGGTAGCATCAGTAGCAAAAAAAACAAAAGAAAAAGTACAAACACATGCATGCACACACACACACAAAACCACCTGGCCAAATGATGACAGCTTGGCCCCTGAAGTTTCTGTGAAATCTGATGACTACCAACATCACAGGAATTTTAACAACTATTTTAGAGCACAGACACTCAGATTAACACTTGGTTTATTTAGATGCCATTATGGTCCTCGTGGATTCATCTGTAGATATTTGGGGGTGGAAGTGGGTAGGCTTGACTTAGTAAAAATAACTCAACTCCAAGGCTTTATTCAGACCTAAATTTATTTTGAGGGTAAGGAGGTGTGGAATGTAACCTTAGGTTCTTGTCTAGTATTTAGTGGCTAATTTAGAATTTTAAATGTAATTTCTAATGTAATTTTAGAGACTGGTTTCAGAAACTACCTGCTTGTTAGTTTAATTTAATTTCTGTATTGGTCAAAGACGTCTTGATACATGGCTAGAACTGAGGTATTAGACTAGCTATTTCTCAGCTCATTGCTCAGAAAAATTATTGCTGTTGATAACACTTTTCTTTGTTTCGTATTAAATAAATCACCTCTTTAAAGATTGAGGTTTTTCTGTCATCTCAGCAAGGGATGCAAGTTCCCCATTTTGAATATTCCATCCATGTTTCATGATGTTTTGCCAAAAGCATTTCTGTTAACCCCAGTCACTTCATCAACCACCACATCCACTTTGCCAAACACCCCATTGTCACCATCACCTTTGCCAAATGGATTGCACAGTACTATGATCATTGGGAGATCATCCAGAGTCTCTTGAAACCCAAGATCTTTCTGTTTCTTCTTAGTGAAGCAAGAAGAATCAGCAAGACCCACTTCCTAGTAGCAAATGAAAAGAAGGAAGGTTATACTGTGGGACAATACCACAAAGAAGCAATGTCTCTCATTCTGAAGAATTATGTATGATTTTTCAAGATAAGTAGCTAAATATGAGACTGCTGACCAAATCAGCAACAAACTACAAGGAAGAAAACCAAAATAATTAAAATTTCAGATTATTTATTTATCATGGAATTTTCAGTCTGGAAGAAACCTAAAAATCACACACTCTGCAGCTTTATTTTATATGGGAGGAAAGAAAGACCAAAGAAACTGATTTGTCAAAGTCTACCCTAGGGCTAGGACCCAGGTGTTCTGGTTTCCAGACTGTAGATATTGATTGGTGAGCCTGAAAAGCTTTTCTGAGTTTTGATGGGAGATTTGCCTGACAAATGACCCAGTATCTCCCTGAGGGATACAAAGCTTCATGAACATGGGAGGTCTGAGGGAAGATGTGCCTCCTACTTGTCCTCTGGTGGCTGGAGGATTAAATGATCCTGTTGCAACTTGCTCTGTGACAAATTCTTCAGGGATTAATTATTGTTGTGATTACATGGAGTATAGCTTTTCTTGAAGTGGCGTGTTATATTTTGAACTGGTATTACGTGAAATTTAAAAGGTCTTGACATCTTCCTGGAGCTTACAGACAAATCTGCTATTAGATCCATTTCTTTTAGTTTTGTCTGGCCAATCTCCAAATCATCAACGATGAAAGGGGGTTTTCTTTTCTTTTATTTATTTAATTTATTTTGAGACAAGTTTTTACTACATTGACCTGGCTGGACTCAAACTCCTGAGCTCAAATGATCCTCCCACATAGTTGGGGCTACAGGCATCTGCCACCATGCCTGCTAGGTTTTCAGTTTCAAATACTGTGATATTCATCTTTCTCACACACTTCAGACTCTACAAAGTGGCACCTATTGGAATAATAGCTATGGAGATAGGAGAATACGGGGTCATGTTAACTCTTCTTTGGGTAGGGGGTGGCTTCAGGAAGGACACTTTGACCAGCAGAAACATCAACACAAAGCAGTCTAGCTGTTCAGTCAGCATAGCTGGCATTCTGGGAGACCTTATATCCACCCAGGGTAGCATGTTCCTAACTTCATACTGATACTTGCATTTTCTGTTGGAAAATGCTTTCAGACAGAATCAGAGGATATTTTGTGGAAGGTAGGTGGCATTCATAGACTTATCCCTACACACCACACAACCCACACTCCAACCTGTGTTTGCTCTCTAGTTCTTAGCTTCAAGCCAAGCAGGTGAGAACTATAAGAGAAACAGTATACTTGAATTTTCTATTTAACTTCTCAAGGAACCTGTGCATACAGGTTTAGGTTAGATTTATTTGGGTGATTAGGAAGTCCTATTTGAGCTTTTACTAAACAATGAGTCTCAGGTCAGAGTGTATCTAGGCAAAGGTGGCCACACACTGGGCTTGCCTGTTCTTTTCTAGAAGCTCTCCTAAGGAAGAAGGAATTGCAACCCCCGTATCTCTCGGGACTTGTAAACCAAAACCATGAGGGCACACATTTCTTGTCCCCTGTGTGACCTCCCTTTGCTCCCTTCACCAGAAAGGCACTGATGGTAGAAGGCAGCTGGGGAGAGAAGGGGGATGGAGGGAGAGAGCAACCATGGGAGAACTCCTGCCTGATGGATCCCATTAGGCTTAGTGTGCAAAGCAAGTTGAGACGAAGTAGCTGCTCTGGTATGTGTCCAAAACTGCTGTTCTATTTTTAATCCCCCCTGTGTGCTTCTTAGTCCTGCGTTGTATGCCTGGGCACCTGGATCTGCAGCAAAACATGGAACTGAGCCATTCATTTGTAAAACTGGAAGGAAGGAGACCATTGATGCGGGACTTGTTTATTGCTGAAAGGGAAGAGGGACCTGGAATGTTAATGAGGATGGCTCTCTGAAGCATGCCTTTATGGTTAGCAAGGAGTTCAAAGGAGAAGGCAGACTCAGTCCTGTGCTAAACAAATGTGAACTGTTGATAGAGGGAAGGAGAAATCAATTATGCGGTTGCTTCCATGTCATTGTGTTGCAGTTGTTAGAAAAGGTAGGACAAGGACCAGATTTCAAAAGGAAACAAAGCCACATGGCTTTCAAGCATAACGAGTTTGCCATGGCAACTGATGGAAATGAGCCTCCCAGGCACCAAGCAGGTGTGTTATCTTACAGAATAAACATACTTCTCTCACTCCCTGGTTTTTATAATAAAACCTGTGTTTGGATTACTTTCCCCTCCTCTTTGTTACCCAGAGAAGTTGGCTGTTGCTCAATCAGCCCTAGGCTCTGGTGGGGGAAATGTAATCAGTGTTATCAAAAAGCTGCTTTTGAAAGGGCTGAGTTTGGCTTAGCTGCCAGCTTCATCGTTGAGCACCAGCTGAGCCACATGTACCTGCCTGGCCTTTGCCACCTTCCACAATGTCCTCCACAGAAAGCTGTTTGCTTCTGCATTCACTGAGGCACAACAGTGAGGCCTGGCTCTCAAACAGCTGTGGTCAAAAGCTGCTGCTTCTGAGGAGAGGAGAAATGTGTTTAGGTGAGGGTGGGACCTGGTCAGTTTTTAGCATCCGGTATTATCTAGGATATAGGCCAAGATTTCCTTGAGTTCAAGGATTATCTGATTCTGTCTTTCAATCTGTTGCTATCTACAAAGTTCCATTCCTCAGAAACTGGAGAAAGGTGCTGTTTCCCTGAGTCTGAAATCCCTCTCAAATGGGCTGAGGGAGGATAGAGTCTCATGTCTGAAATGTACACAAAATGTAGAGATTTTATAAAATCCTCTCAAGGTACAAATAAAAATTGAAATTTATTTTTAATTTTTATAATGAAAAAGTAATGATAAAATAGAATAATCATATTTTTGTTGCTCTTATTTGTGACTAAAAAGAAACATCCACTCTAGCTTCAAATTGATTTTCAAAACAAGATGCTCATTCTCGATGGACTCCTAGAACACAGATGGTTTCTAATCACAATTGTGGAAAACAACTGACCCGAGGAGAACTTGTGCAGCCAGAACCAGTCAGCTTGATGTGAAACTGTCAAGCAGCAGGTTATGGTCAGCAACACTAAGTCTCTTCCCTGCTTCTGCCTAGGTTCCTACCTTCCTCCAACAAGAAGTCTAGCACTCTCACCCTGCCCCGATCATCCCTATCCTCCAGAGGATGCCCTGGATACCCCTTCACATGTCACCTTACCTTGACCATAATAAGAAAAAGACGGCTGTCTGAAGAAATGATTCAAGCTCTGGTGTAAGTTGGAAAGGATCACTTGTGCCAAACAGTATCACAGCATTTAAGCACCCTAGTTACTCCAGAGGGTGAGGCAGGAAGATGGAAAATTTCAGGTCAGGCTGGGCAACTCAGCAAGACCCTATCAAAATAAAATAATAAAATAAAATGGGGGCTGGGAATACAGGTCAGTACCTGCTCTTCTTCTTAACTCAATCCTAAAAACTTCACTCAGATCACACCTTTACTTTATGCACAGTTTTAACAAGTTCAGTTGCCTGTTTCCCTAACATTACACAGGTCAGAAATTGCAAATTTAGGATTACAGGAAAGAAGGACTTGAGACTTGCTTTCTGATGGAAATGACACCTGACATTTTGATAAGGTGGTTTTGACATGAAAATATTTTGAAGAAGCCCGAAAAACAAACAATTTAATATTCAACTTTTAAAAATTCCAAGTAATATTTGAAAAAGCAATCTAATTTTCACATAGATCAAATCAAAACAGCCAGCTTCAATGACTTAATTCATGTACTAAGCAATAAGCACCCCTAAAAAATCCCTGATTACATCACAGTTACAACTGACTTGTTTTTAAAATAAAGTATTTAGTCATCTGGAAAAGGTTACATTAGGTGTTCTATGTTTTGTTTAAGAAAGTAGTCATGTACCTCATTGGCAAGGTTGCTGTTATGGCTGTGTCTAGATGTCCTCCCAAAGGCTCATGAGGTTGGGCTGGATTTCGGTTGTATGACGCTGGGATTAAAGGTGTAATACTGGAATTAAGAGTGTGATTACTAAATCAGTCCACTGATTGGTCTAGCATAGTTCTCAGTGTGGATAATGAGAAAGCCCATGCTGGGTATGGGTGTCACCACCCAACAGGCGGGCAGCCTGGAAAGGAAGAGAGAGGCAGGCTGCTGTTGCTGCTTGCTGTTTTACTATCTCCTGCCTGTTTGCCATGGACTGTTTCTCCCCTGCAATGCCCTTATACCGTGCCACCCTACTTTAGGGCCAGGTGACTATGAACTGAAACCTCTACAAACTCTGAGCTAAATAAACCTTTCCTCCTTTAACTTTGAGTGTTGGGTGTTTTGTCTCAGCAATGAGAAAAAGTAACTAAGACAATTTCCCCAATGTGAGGCCAATTCACTCATTCTAGTTGCAGACGACACTGGATATGCTCAGCCCTCCCAATCTCAACCAGGGGTTGGCTCTGTCTCCCCTACACAGCCTTGTCAGGGCCTCAGTCTATAGGAAAAGTCCAAGATTTAGGTCCTCCAGGCACCAAGGCAGATTCAGCCAATGGAGTATTTGGGGCATTTCATACTGTGTCTAATAGGCAGCTGCCCAGTCCACTTGTGATTAGGACTGGCATTCCAAAGTGAGCAGGGTGGGCCTTTTCACATTTGGGTTTTTAAAATTCAAGATTCTAAACCTGGGCTTTGAGTACCAGTATATCATTGTTTGTTGAAAAGACATATGAAATGGAAAGTTCCTGACACCTCAGTGTGAGCATGGGAGGTCTGGTCCCATCATGTCACCATTTCTAATTTAAAGGGAGTTCAGCAGCACCCTCAGCAACTAACAGATCAGCAACCAATCTTTAACTACTTATTTGATGCCTACTGTGTGTGAGGAAATACACTTGGCATAAAGAGGAGTAACACACATTCTTCTTGCTATTTAAAATCTAAGTGGAGAGATAGTTATATCTTCATTGGAAAAGATACCCCACAGTAAATGCTAAAGGAGTGAGACAGCTGGTCTCTTTGACTCTCACTATGACCCAAGACTTAGCTCAGTTTCAAGGTCAGATCTTCAAAGAAGCAAGTGACTGCTGATTTGTCCTAATAAACAGAAAGTCTGTTCACTCATCCTTCCTACTATATACATTTTAGATTATTATGTTCAAAGTTCCTAAATGGAGAAAGCATGTAAAAGCACCGCTGAATGAGAATGTTAAGCCAATAAGTGACAATGCAGTCCCTAGGGATCTATCATACCTGTCTAAAACCCAGGTCCTCACATCAAGAAAGGCCAAGCCAGAGGTGATGCATGGCACACTTATAATTCCAGAACCCTGGAACTACAGAGTTCACAATTCAAGCCCAACCCTGGCAACCTCATGAATTAGACTCTGCCTCAAAATTTAAAAAGGGAAAAAGGGAAAAGGCCTGGGTTCAATCCCGAGCTACAAAGAGAAAAAAAAAAAAAAAGCCAGGCAACACTGCATCAGGTAGGAAAGTGAGGATGTGCTATTTACACTGCAGCCTTCACAGCTGGGAAGGCAGAAACCTGGCTGGTGCTGAGATCAGCTGAGATAGAGCAAATGGATCTCTGCACTATACTTAGTAGGAGTATGGGAAATATTTGAAGCTGAGCCTGTCAGCTAAATACACAAATAACTAAAAAAGAAAGCAGAAAATGATAATTTTTTTTTTTTGGTACTGGGGATCGAACTTGGGTCCTTGCGTTTGGAAGGCAGGCTGCAGAACCACTGAGCTAAATTCTCGGCCCAGAAAATGATAATTTGCAGGAAGGGTCAAAGGAACTCTCTCTGAGAATGAATATTGGTATTTCTCAAGTTCCCCAGACAAAATCTGAGACAGAAAACACTGTTCAAACTGAGTCTATGATCTGTTTTCACATGTTTCTCACTCACAAAATGCAGCTTTTAATCAGTCAAATAGGGTTTGAATTTCAGTTCACTTTCAAGTCATGTGACCTTAAGCAAGTTATTTTGCCTTCCGGTGCCAGCCAATAAGATGGGGAAACAGAACCACCTCCCAAGGAGGTTGTCAGAATACATAGGATGAAGGATAGAAAGAGTCTAGAATAGTGCCTGGCATATAATAACTACTGAAAATTATTCCTTCTTTTCTTGCCTTTTCATCTTACTTTCCACCCTATAGTTAAAAAACATTCATGGGGACTGAATATTTTTTTTCCAAAAAAGTCAAATACAAAATCCTATTTCATTTTTAAAAAATCTTTCATTTAAAAAACAAAGCCTTGGGCTAGGGATTTAGCTCAGTGGTTCCAGTGCCTGCCTTGCAAGTGCAAGGTCCTGAATTTGATCCCTGAAACCAAAAAAAATTAAAAATAAAAAAATAAAAAATGAAGCCTTCTGCCTTGCAAGTGCAAGTTCCCGAGTTCGATCCCTGGTACCAAACAAAAACAAAAAAACCACAAAGCCTTCAGAGAGATTAATAATATGATCTTTTAAGCTTAAAATATCCATCTAGTTTGATTTCTTAGTGAGGTCTGAGAGAGGCCATCAGAGATTCACAGAATAATCCTAGCTTGGGTGACAGCGTTTTCGCTTCTTACATTTTGCTAAGGAGCAAGCCTGCCAGCAGCACTGGCTAGAATGATTCATGGTACACCATATCAAAACTTGGCAATCATGCTTGACTTTAAAGAAAAGTTACTTTAGAGATTCATAATAAGGCCTTAAAAATAGAATAATGGATTTGAATGTATTTTGAAAAGTAATTTGAAAGGAAGTATTATGTTCACATTATACCTAGTAGTGAAAAAGGAAAATTTGAATTCAGACTGGGAACCCTGCTATGCTATCCTCTGGTTCTACTTACCCAAGAAATGAAGTCTCTCTGTCATCTCCAACAGCCTGCTCAGTAGGCAGACATGGAGGAAAAACCAGAACTGGCTGCGCAAGCATCTTTCATTTAAAATGAAAGAGAATTGCTGTATGGTCACTGTATCTCAAGCCTCTTTTTCTCTTTTTTTAAAAAATTTAATTTTATTGGTACATTTTAGGTATACAACATAATGACATTCACCATTGGAAATTTGCACCTTTACATAATCTATCTTGGTTCTTACATTTTCCCCCTTCCCCTGCCCTCCCTTCAATGCCTCCATCCCTCCCTATTTACAAAGACTTTGTTT